TCAAATAAAGTATCAAAAGCAAGAAATCATATGGTTTTATTGAACAAAACTGTTAAAATACATAATGTATTATAAACAATAGAGCTAATGTACATTACGCATTACAACAAAGGCCTGCAGAGGGCGCCATCGGCCTGACGATTGTTTTTACACATTGCTGTGCGATCTAATACTTGTTTAATATTTACCAAGCACCATTTCATTCAAATGTCCACTTAATCTTTAATATTTGGCCATTTCTTTAGGACAGAAATGCTACAGCCACTGTAATTAAAAGAATATGTGAATGTCAAAACGTGTAAACTCAGAGTGAGGGTTTGAGCTTTTATTTTGAAACCGCGATGTATTCTCCCGTGTTTGCGTAGAATTATAAATGATTTACCTTACAAATCTGATGAAATGGCGCACGTTATAATAAACCCAAACTCACAACAACATGCAGAGTTGGAGTTTGAGACGCTCCACACATGTAAATGATAACAGTTCCTGTGGAACTACTGTGAACGAAGCCGTTGTGTGATGCATGTACTTAACCTACACGCATGCAAATAATTAAAGCGCATATACTGTATTAGAACGGCATTGCATATAATTTATTAAATCGTAGCATTTGTGAATTCCCAATTATGCTTAATTATGATTTTTAAATGGGTTTAATATCATGCAGCCTTGGGAAAATTTTTGCCGGTTATTCGATGCGAGCATAATGAAGTTGAGGATTTAAAAAAATGTAATAGTCGAATAAAATCGACGAATTGCGACAGCCCTAGAAAGCAGCAAAGTTTGGAGAATATGCCCTTAGTTCTAATGAACTACGCCCCTGAATTATTCAATTTTATTTTTTTAAATGAAGATACTAAACATTTAAGATCTGGAGTTTGTTTTATTGTTCTTGGTTGTCTCTCATAATTAAGCTTAAAGTTCCCAGAAACTAGGCAGATGTTTGTCACTTAGCTTCTTACCCAGAGTCAGACTCCAGACACACAGTAGGAGAGTCAGTGGGGTCTTTGGTTAGAGAAGCAGCTTGCTTGGCCAGCACAGACACAACTCCTCCATGTTCATCAGAAAGCGAGCCACGGCCTGAGATTAAAACATTAAAGAAGTTGACACTTACAGTACATGGATCATCTGCAAATTATGGTGAGCCATTAAAAATATTTCAAACATTCAAGATAACCCATATGAGAGCAAAATTCTGTAACATTACATTTTATTGAACAACATGTTCATTGTTATACCTGTATATTGTTTTGGACATTTAAAAAAGTGGAGAAAAATAAAACAAGAAACAAAAAGAAACAAACTGTAATAAATGTAGTGTTATTTTAGTATTAATCATATACACTGTTGTAGTTTTCATTAATATTTGGAATTAGCTTTTATTTTTATATTTTCAAAAAAAATTTTGTTTTAGTTCAACTTTCAGTCATTTTAGGGCCTCCACTTAAACATATCTAAGTTTCTTATTTTCATTTAGTTTAATATTTATTTTTGTATGTTTTTTTCCCCATGTAACATACATATATACAAATACACATAATAGTTTTAGTTTGGGTTGTAAAGTTCCCATTTTGAGTAATAATAATGTCCCCAGTTTTATGAAAGTAAACTGAATTTAACCACATTCAAAACATTTGTATTTATCTATATTTTTGGCTAAACCTTGCCTTGTACACTTATGTAAATATTAACATTAAATTAATGTTGCTGGAAAAAATGCACGCATGTAAACTACTCAAATAACACTATCATCATGACCTAGTGGATGAATGAGACAGTACTTACATCCTAAATTATGGCCTTGAGCGTCTGTGCACAAAACCCCAACAATGGCAGGATTTTTCATTCTAGTGGAAGAAAACAGACGAGTAATGCAACAACTAAAATAAGTATATATGCTTGGAAAAGAATGCTATATTTTAACGTACGTGTCGTCAAGATGCTGCTCCAGTGCACCCTCCATAATAGAAGCCTAAATAATGTTCTTAAATGAACAGAAAAATAATATGTTGTGGAGAGAGTAGCAGCGATATTTATTATTTGTATTACTTCCGGGATGTCAGCTGACATTCTAACACGCAACTCCAACACTACGGCATCCTCTAAGGAAAAAATACTAAAAGCGCATATGATTTAGCGCCATGTAGCTCGAAGTCTAGTCTTGTCAGTAAATAAAAAAATACTGTTAGCAGCTTAACCCTCTACATGTAGCCAGAGATGGGCATAAATACATGCAAATGTGTTTAACATAAAAATACAAAATACTGTGTGGAAAAAATGTGTTTAAATATAAATACAGTATTTTTTTGTATTTTGAAAATACACAAAATACCTGTGAAATTGGCCATCCAGTGCAGGTATCCGTATAGGCTGAAATCTATCTGGACCTATTCTGGAGAAAAGAACAAACTAACAAACACACACACAATGTGTACAACTGCTTAGAAATTTTTGTTTTCATTTTACACATCTTCCCTTCCCATGCCCTGTACGAAATACAAAACTACAAAAAAGCATATTTATTTCATGTTAATTATATATTCGCTTACCTCGATAGGCCTTTTTCTATGTAAACGATTTAGAAAAAGTTCAGTCGATTCACACTTTATATCATGATCGCCGACGCCACGATATGTAGCCTATTGTCATTTCACTAAAG